AGCGGTATTAACTTCGTAATGTCTAGTTCCTTCTTCCAGAAGTACAATACGATACTTCTTTGGTTCAATGACGCTTTTTTCTCCGAGAGTATCCGTCACCTCCCCGTTCGAGCTCTTCTCCATATCGGGAGACGGGGAAGAATCGGGATGTCCTGGCGCTATGTCCTTCGGCTATCCCTCGATCCGATTGGCCGATCTCGAGCTAGGGACGCAAAGATCCGCCTTTTTTGCCGGGAAGATCAATCGCTTGGCCGACGAGAGCACCTCTAATGCCGAATCGCCGCTTCGCTCAAGGCCGGCTTTTTGCCCGGCCGCCATTGCTCGTTCCTTTTCGCGATTCGCGATGGAACGATTGCCGCGAATGCCAAGGACTCCCCGGGGTGAGATGCCATTGGGTCGATCAGGAACCACCGATGGGAGGCAATAATTGAACCACCACGGGTTACTTCGAATATCCCAGAGAACTCGTAACGACTTTGCTCGGTGGACTTTTTCCCGGGCGGAAAGAAAATCGTCATGAAAAAACGCGCCGCACGTTAACGTTTCTTCTTTTTTTCTTTTTTTTTAACTACTGTGCGAACGCCTATGTTTCTCGCGGTTAAATTTCATATCCGCGAATCGAGCTCGCCTCGGCCTGCAATTTTCGCGAATCGAAGAAACTCTCGGCGGGACGTCGAGGTGCAATACCGTTTCTCGAGATCCCGAGCCAGCTGGTGGACTTATGCTCTGTGAAATGCATAATGCGTCGGTGCGGTCCCAGGGAGCGATCTAGGATGCGCGCGTAGCGAATTTCCGCGGACGGTCATTGAGGCCGTCGCCGGCGTAAAAAGCCGACTCGGTGCCCGGTCTTTCTTTTAGCCCCCGATTTTCGCGGGACTGCGGAGAAAACGCACTCTGCAATTTAACCGCGTCTCTTCGCCGCACGCTTTGAGGATTATGGGTCAACCTCGCCCTAGATCAACTGTTCCGAAACGCGTGGAATTAAATTCCCCTATGATTAGCTTCCATTTTTCCTCATTTATAGACAAGAACGACTTTTCCATACAGGGTGGTTTTTTTCTTTTTCTTTTTTTTCAACGGTCTCTATGTCGCAATCAATCCCTACGGTCGAATCGAGTGGCGTTGGTTCACAGGTTTTCCCACACTTGACTTTCTGTCGAAGGACGAGGGCAGGTGGAATTTTCCTTAGGGGAGCTGAATGGGGGAGGGGAAAAAAGGAGCGACGAAATTTTAATCCCGCGTCCACCAATATTTTCATTCATAACTTGGGTGAACGGGGCCGACCTGGCCACGTTTCCACGGAACGAAAACACGAGGTGGACGTTCATACCGTCTGCATTGTTAGCCGAAGAATCGACAGGTTGATAGAGCGTGACAGACTTCAGGCGAAACGACGTTCACTGTAAAAAGGACGAACTTACGTCCTTGTAAAAAGCACCTCCTCGGGAACGCGAGATTCCTCGCGCTGCTTCCCGTTCCTTTTTTGCCTCCTCAAACATCGAAGGAATAAAAATGATAAACAGTCTCGCTAACTAGCACCCGGAGTTGTCAATGAGACAATGGGAATGAATCGGCGTGATTTTACCCTCGATATATAGGATGAACTGGTAATTCAAAGGAGCGGTTGAAAATCAAGGTACATAATTAATAATTTATTCGTTGTAAACAATTTGGAGAGGTCTGAAGTATGGAACTAAAGATACACCGCGAAGTCGCTTTTACCCGAGAATTGGCAGAAAATTGCCGGAGCTGGAGCAGAGGAACGGATTATGTCCTTTTTAGGACCACCGGTAGGTGGGAGGGAACGAGTGCGAGGGAGACCGCGAGAGCCGCGAAAGGCGGGAGCGAGAGAGACGCAGAGAGGTCGGAAGACCTCGAGGAAGGAGAGGTCCTCGACAGCTCGTCTCAAACATCTGCTCGGGCACTATCTTCCTTGAGGAACGGCATCTAGCCGCGAGAAGAGGAGAGATCGTATACATCGTCTACGAGATACCCGTGTACATTATGTCGGTACATAAATCATAAACGCCAGTAGCCCCCTCCGTGCGCGTACAACGGGCTGCTTGCGAGGACTAAAGCGCGCCGACGAAGATCGAGGACTTTTAAGGGCGCTGATAAGCAATCGGTTAAGACGAATCGGTAAGGCAGGACTTTCACATCACCTCGAAGGAAAAAAAGAATCCTCGGGGGTTGTCCCGGAGACTCGAAAAAAAAAGGAAAAGGAGGTCCAGGAAGTAATGGAAGTTCCTGACTGTGACCCTGGGACCGGAAATGGGTGGCTTAGAGAACCGTAGAAAAGAATTTTCTCGGGTAATAATTTAACGAACGAGGAAGAACTCGGGACCTCGCGAGGTCATCCTGGGAATCCGGGAACTTAAGCTAAAGACGGGAAGAAGGAAATCCTTTGTTAGGTACGAGGATATAAAAGAAATCCCCTTAAAATGTGTACAACCCGCTTGATAGATGCAGATGCATTTCGTAATTAAATTATTAACAGCTCGAGGATCATAAAAATTGAGGAAAAGGCAAGCTTCGATCGCGACTCGTGTTCCAATTTTCTAGCTGAATTTTAATTATCATCATAAATCAACTCCGCGAGTCTTCTTCATGCCAATGCGGAAAAGACGTTCTACGCACGCACCGAGTAGGGACTGTATGCTTGGAATACTCGTATCTACCGGTTCCACAAAAGTTAAAAAAAGTCCTTTAGAAGTTTCGAGTCATAACCGGGTCGCGCGAGGGAAGTTAAGCGATTACGGGCATCCGGGAGGGGAAGACATCGGAGAGGGCCGAGAGAAGAGGAAGACGCATGGCCGCCATAAAGAGGGCGCTCGTCCTACATTTAGCACCCCGGCGGCGTCAGATGCGCTGACAAGCGAGAATCGCCTCGAAGTCGCCACCGCTCGACAGATTGCCACGAGGACTGATCGACGCACCGACAACAATCCTCTCCTCCGTTTCTTACGGCCCCGCCGCGAGGAGATCATTACCCCACGCGTGCACCGCGCGCGGCCATTCCGCTCGAGGAAAGCGGCGAAAAACCGCAGCCCGGAAAATCAAGCCGTCTTTCCCGGTCCCTCTTTCCGCAGGAGCGAGACCGTAAACGCACGCGGCTCCGCAAAAACCCCGCACCGGCTGCTCTTTCCGCTCCCTTGGTGGCGCAATGACAATGAACACTTTGCGGCCCCGGGAATTTATTTCTTTATTCCCAAGGAAATGAGAGCAAACTTGTCGACTGATTTTCGGAGATTTTTCGACACTCGGGGAGGGACTTGACGTTTACGAGAAAGGGTTGGGCAATTGTTCGGAAGGTTGTTGCAAGTCGTGCCGCTCCTTCGAATAAGTTCCTTGGATTTGCTTTCCTTGCGGAAAGGCGTATATTTTTTTTTACGGGAAGATATGAAATTCTCTTTCGAGAGAGGAGTGAAAAACTTAACAGCTTTCCCGGTCCTTCCTTGGACTAAAAGCACGTTTAATTGTGTACTCGGTGTCGCAAAAAGCTCGGCGAAGATGCGAGGGCATTTTGTACTTCCTAAGTGCGGGAAAGACCAGGAGCACTTATCCGCGGCGTAATAATAATTGTTAATTTTCCGCGGCGTGAGTAATCGTTAATTCCCCGAGGGCCGGAGTCTGAATGGTAAAAGTGCATATGAAATTCCACGTGTCGGGATCAACAAAACACCACCCACGTTGGAGTTAAATTGTTATTCCTTCAATTAACAGAATATAATATAACCAGTAATAATACTCAAGCTGTCCGTGAAAACCCGCTTCGCTTGTTTAAATTAATTCCCCGAGTGCAATAGAAAAATCTATAAATGTTAATAAAATTGTGTAAATATAATTTCCCACCCAGGGAAGAACTCATTCGAGTCTCCGCGGAGAAAAACGAAGAACGTAACGTCTTCATTGCTTCTTCTTCTTCCTCTGGTCCGACAATGGATGTTGAACGGCTCGCGTGTAAACGCACGTGGTACGGCAAAAACCACCGTAAAGAAGCAAGTACTTTTTGCACTCACTAGCCCGGTGGCGCAAAGACAAGGAACACCAGCCTGCATCGTGAATGGTACTTAATTTCCACCTCGGCAATGTTTTGTCCAATTAGGGCAACCCCACAATTTCACACAAAGTGGATCGAGCGTTGGAAGTGAATTCCAGATTCTTTGAAACTGTAGATCATTCAAGGAGTTTCCTCGCTCAAAACTGTATTTGGCGCGAAGCTCTTTTTTTTTACCCTACATTACGTGTAAAAAAAATTCAATTTTTTTTTTTTGAGAATCTCCTTAGATGGATTAAGAAGAATCCTTACAACTTCGGTACAACAAGTACGCCCCTAAGTCCGAACATTGACATTTAATAATAAATTCTTGAGCGGGGGGAGACTTTTACCCCCGCGACTGTCGAATTCCGAGAACGCAAGAGAGACCCTCTCTCCATTCATCGATGTCTCTCCGGCTTCGGTGATCGGCGCTGTCAAAGGAAGACACTCTCGACAAGGGGATATGGCAGTCATAAATATCCTTTACCTTCCTTCTAGTTTCGAAAACCGACACCCACGAGATCCGAGAGGTCCCGACCTCCTCGATATCCGTGTATCTAGCCGCGGGTGACACGTGTCAAACTTGACAGCTCTTGGTCTCTCCTCTGCCGACGAGATTAATATCCGAATGGCAGAAATAAGCGAAGAAAAATCGCCCGTCAAATCCGGTTGTCTTTCTTAACGTACAATGAAACGGCTTAACGTTATCTTTAATAAACATTGTTATTCTTGGACTAATAATGTCAACAAACGCCAAGCGTGGGTGCAGCGAAAATTATTTAAACTTCTTAAATTCTGTAACGGTATCTCTTAACCGTATAAAGTCGCAACAACGCGAGGATTGCATTTGTTATTACATGCTACGTTATACCGTGGAAGAAACAAAAATTAATTTCTTTCAACATTCAATGAAATTACTACCGATTTCTATATAATATAATATCTTATAAATCATTTCCAGGGTCGCATGCCATTTGTGCGTGCAATGAGCATGGAACAGCGGTGGCAGGATCTGGCGTCCCTGTTGTCGCTTCCTGGGACGCCGGAACACTTTGCACATCCTGGACATCCTGGATACCCAGGACACGGGATCTCCCATGGACACTACGAGGCACAACGTAATGTCCTGCTTCACAATGCCACCCTTGCCCCTCCGGTTGGCGATCTCAACTCCACCGGGCCCTACCACAATGTCGGTGAGTGGACGAATCCCGTTTCTTCGAGGAAAAGACGATCTTCTTCGCTTCAAGGATGAATGAATGAATACGTCATTCGTGCTTGACTCTGATGATCCTTTCCCTATGTCCGGTCCCGAGGGGGTGTCACTTGATTGATGCCAATCGGTGCAATAAAAACATTACCGGAAAAGACTTAGCCTTGTCTGAACTAAACTGCTCACCGTTGCAGGGGGTCCATCCAACCTCGGATCAGCTGTGGCCACGTCGATGAACCTGACGAACAGCAGCGAGCCAATGGGTGCAGAAAACGGAGCAGGGTACAAATCCGAGCCGAACGACATGATGTACTATCACGCACCTGCTTCGGATACCATCAATCAGACCACCGAAGGATTCCTGTCGTCCCTCCTAAACGACGAGGACCTGCACCTGATGGACATGGCCATGAACGACGGTAAGTACTTACACGAATTCAAATTTACAATCCACGTAAATACCCAAAGTCTCTTGAACCGTCCAAGTTTTCTTGTTAAAATCAGTTTCGGATTTCGAGCTGGGTCTTGCGCCTGAAACAGGTGCAAGAATTGGTAATACAGTTTATAGTAAAAATACACGCTTAAGGGGGTGTGCGGCACACAGAGATCTCCTTCGTGAAACTTTTCTCCAAGTTGGACGAGAATCGCAAACCCCACCAAGAATGGAACATGGTATATCGCGATAAACTAGGCGTGCTTCGCAGTGCAACATTTTATTATAAAAAGGAACGCATAAAAGCTTAGAAACGTAACATTTACTCCTATCACTAAACGATGTTATCTTAAAGGGTAATCTCTTAACTTAGGGCCTGCCTTTATCCGAGATCTACATATAAATGTAGAACCCCGGTTGAACAAATTAAGTAGAGGCACGTCAATGTATTGAAAACCCGTAGTCTTTGTACTAGAGAACTGTCGTGACGAGAGAAGGAAAACGAAGTGGAAAAAAAAAAATTAAAATGGAAAAACAAACAATTGGGACTCCCTCCGATCTCGAGGGTGTAAAAAAAATGCGAGACTTGTTTTCCAAACCCTGAAAAAGCCGATAACGTGTCCTGACTAGACGCGTTTCCTTAGTACAAATGTAGTATCCGCTCACATGACTTCTCGTTTAACATAACTTACTGAAAATATTTCCATTTGGTTACGATTAATACTGAGAACAGTGCCTGGGCACCGGATCTACTCCGACAAGAAAACTTTGACTTGATTCTGACCAGCCAGACCAAGTCTTCTACTTTCCGTGTGTGTATGTGTACCTCTCACGTAATTAAAAAAAACAAAAATAACGTCGGTACAGTATGTGTGTTGCGTGTTCGTGTACATAAAAAAGAAAAATGCTTCTGCACGGTGGAGCGCACGTATCTTCGCAGCCTATTTGGCGTCTTCCTTCGTGGTTCCCTATCCAATAATTCGGCAGAAGTCCATTGTTCGATGGCTCTACCACTCCTCCTCAGCTTCTGGGGCATTGTATGCACTTTCTGGATATGCTTCTCCCTTGTCGTCGTCATTGTTGAACTGTAACGAGATCGTTCACATTAGGCAACTGCCCAGCTTCACACAAAATTCAAGAATTCCCATATAATCATTGAGGTGGCCAAAAGGGCAGTGACAAGTTGGTTGACAGGTGGATATAGATCAGAATGACGTAAAAGTTAAATAATAGGTAACTTACGCTTCTAATGTCTCGGCCTCCGAATTTGTTAGATCTTCCAGGAGCAAAGCTTCTGCCTCCTCCTCCTCCGCTGAGGAACTCAGGAACAGGCTGACCAGCTTGACGAAGGATTTTGACCAGGTCGTCAGAGATTGCACCGTCATCATCGGGGCTATAGAAACTCGTGGCTTTGCCCCTGTTTCCTACTCTTCCAGTTCGACCAATACGATGCACGTATTCATCGATCTCCTTGGGCATGTCGTAGTTGATGACATGTGCCACGTCAGGAATGTCTAGACCACGAGCAGCAACAGCAGTGGCAACTAGGATAGACATCCTGCCACGTTTGAAATCGGCAAGAGCTTCTTCGCGTTCTCGCTGCAATCGGTCTCCATGAATGCTCGTTGCAGGGAAGTTTGATCCGCAGAGGAAAGAGGCGATGAAGTCGGTATTCCTCTTCGTCTCCACGAAGACCAGAGTTCTCTTGAGGCCACTTTCGCTCTCCTTGTCGAGAAGTTCCTTAAGCTTCGACCGCTTCTGGTACTTGGTGACTTCATAGAAGGTCTGCTCCACGTCGGAGCAAGCTCCCCCTACGATTCCTACGGCCAGGAACAAATGATTATGCAAGAAGTTGGAAGCCAATTGTTGCACATCTGCAGGAAACGTGGCAGAGAACATCAGGGTTTGCCTCTGTCCCTTGGGCACCATTGTCTCGTGGTCGATCAGCTTCTCGATGTCCTGTCGGAATCCCATGTCGAGCATTCGATCGGCCTCGTCCAGTACTAGGAAGCGAACTTTGTTGAAGCTTATAATGCCTCTATTAACAAAGTCCGTTAATCTTCCTGGAGTGGCAACGAGAATGTTACACCCTGCTTGCACTTGCTTCGCTTGGTAACCGGTTGCAGTTCCACCATAAGTCACGACACACTTCAGAATGAAACCACGAGAGAATTTCCTGGCCTGTTCGTAGATCTGGATCGTTAGCTCTCGAGTTGGGGATACTATAACGACTTCAGGTTCCGCACATGCCGAATACGAAGCCGCGCATTTCTCTTCCAGAAGAGTGTTGATCATCGGAACGAGGAATGCAGCAGTTTTCCCAGATCCTGTCTGAGCACAGGCCATTAAATCCCGGCGATCCATAATTATCGGCAACGCGTACTTTTGCACAGGAGTCGGTTTCTTGTATCCAGACTTGACGACGTTCTCTAGAACAGCTTGCTTGAGGCCAGCCTCTGTGAAGGATTCGATGGGCCTAGGAGGATTTTCCCCGGAAACATTGACCTCGATCGAATCGTATTTGTCAAAGTTGATTCCCATGTTGACGCCGTTTCCAAAAATGACGGAGTCTTCATTGGAAGGCTCCGGTGGGATGTAAACTTCTTTGTTGATGTGTTCAGGCTTATCTTCGGAGTCGTCTCCATGGTCGTCGTTTCTGTCGCCTCGGTCACCTCGAAAACCACCTCTGCCTCCTCGATCACCTCGGTCACCACCCCTGCTACCTCTTCCGCCTCTTCCTCCTCTGCCACCTCTGTCATAATCATTTCCATCTCGATCATCTTGATCATCACGATCATTTCGAAAGCGACCACCATCTCGATCATCGTCTCTGCCACCTCTACCTCTGCCGAAGCCTCTTCCTTCCCCTCGTCCTCCTTGGCTTCCTCTGTGATCGGATTCCCAATCATCTCCTCCATTATTTGATTCCTCGTATGTACCAAATCCACTGCTATTATTATTATTCGAATTGCTATGTTTTCCTACGCCCCATTCATTATTATTATTCGGGGTAAATCCTCTGCCTCGGCCACCAAAGCTTCGCCCCTCTGAAAACTGTTTGAGAACAATATTGACAAGATCATTGAACGGGGACTTTTCAATATTTATTGCAAATTGTCAGAACAATTTCTTACCGAGGAAGTGCGTACCGGAGCTGAATCGCCAATATTGTCATCCCAATCCTCCATTTTATACCTAAAAACATTTGATGCTATGATAATTTATTCAATTGTTTCAGTGATTAACACTTTTGTTGCAAACTTTCTTTAATCTTTTATAACGATAGAAAGATGCCTTTATTTCTCCTGAGATATTTTAATGTAATTGTCTCATGAAACAACCATATAATATACATACATGCAAAGTAAAAAAAATACAAAACGTAAAGAAAAAAAATTGAAAGAATCAGTCAACAAATTAGTACCAATAGCGTTGAACATTTTCTAGAAAATTCGATCGTAAACTCACATTTGACTTCGTTACACGATTTTCAAGTTAACGCGAAAAAATGGACGATGGAAAAACGTCTAGAAACGCGCGCGTATAGGCGACGCAATGCAATCTGTAAAAAAAACCGGCACAAAGCAACAGAGCGCTACGATGGTCTAAAAAAAAAAACATTCGTCTAGTACGCCTTTATATAAGAAAAAAAAAAAGATAACGTACGCTCAACTTTACAATCTCAAGTAGACACATCACGCGTGACTATAATAAAAATAAAACATAGACCGAGTATAGTAACCGACTAAATGATTCTCATTAAAACTAGCTCGCGATGCATAGTATATGGTAACGGAAATGAGAACAGTTTATCATATAGTACCGGAAAAAATTGCGTTAAAAATTCATAAAACGACCGCAGAGCATCGAACCGGCGTGAAGAAATGACACGACCGGGTAACATTTTAAAAGCGTGGAAAATGTATCATTGAATTCGAGGAGACTTAAAAAAAAAATACGAAGTAGGGGAGGGAATGGATTTTCGAAAAACCGTCACCAGAAATACGGGGAATACATGTATAAATCAAGAGATATATCACTGAGGAGATGCGCAACCAGCGCACACGTGGTAACCGCGAAGCGCTTCTGCGCGCCGGCGAGCGCAAGCATGGAACACCGAGTATGGAGAATTCCGCGATCGTTACCTTTTTGCGTCGGTGCGGATAGGTTACGCTGACTTAGAGTATCTGTTGAACGGAACTGATAACGCGTCGCGAATTATTTTGAAGTTTACTGAACACGCCAACGATCTCTTCTTCACGGGCTCGAAAACAGGAATGAGCAGGAATGAGCGCGTACGGGATTACAAAGAGCCTCAAGGCGGGAACTGGGAACAAAGCGGCGGTTTGCCGAGGTTGTCTACGCCACTCTCCGAAAGATGGCAGCGGTGTTCCGAGCGGAGCGCCTGCGCGTACGTCGACAAGGGGTAAACTACTGCCTGCCCTCACCTAGGCGTCCGAGAGACCGGAGTCTCTCTCTCGCACCCCTCTACGGAATGAGTGCGAGAGAGACGCTCTTATGCGGGCGCGGCACGGAGGTCTCTCGGTAGCTTGGTACCTTGTTGCCCTGGTAACCGAATCGGCAACCTTGATTCCAGAACGATCTCCGTCGTCAAGTGGTCAGATTAAATGACGGAGTAAAATGGAAACTTGTTAACATTTTAAAGATAATGCTAATGTATAAACTTTTAAGAATGTTTTTCAATTCGGGATTTAACGTTCATTTGTATTCAAAGGGGCCGGCGTCTTGTTATGGATTCGTAAGCCGATATCGATACATGAATTCTAAGAATCAGTCTTCCACGAGTTACTTACTACTCGTTCATTTTTTTTTAAATGTGTCCCTTGTCTCGACCCTGCTAGACAACGAGAGCTCGCAAGAAGCATAGTTTACTGAATGTCCATTTGTCTTGGATCTCAACTTATCTGCCACTAAAAAATCTGACGCTACTCCGAACCTTATCTACAACTCTTCACGTGCAGCTGAACACGCACATTGTTCACGGAAGAAAGGACATGAGAACTAATTTGCTACTTACGGTATATACTAATCTCTCATTTGTCATTTATTGTCGGTATGAAAATAAGACACGGTTTATGTTATTTCTAGTGAAGTAACCCGATGTAACAATTTTTATTGCAAATAGTGTAATTCCTCGTGTTTAAAAATTTTACGTATGGCCATACAGCTGTTCAAAGAAGTGAGTCGTACAGATTGTTCGAACAATGCAGTTCTGAGAAAGCAATATTTTATTCAAAAACCTTTTTCGAAGCTATTTCAACAGTACTGGGTCTGTCCTTAAGTGGCCCACGTGTTAGCTGGAAGAATAGGACACTTTCTTTAAGGGTTTTCCTGTTTGGACTTGAGAAAGTCTATTACCTCCAACCCTCGAAAATGCCAGTTTTCAAGGGTCCTTGCCTCGGCCATAAATTCCAAACAAAAACCAAGCTTGCATCTCCAGGTCAATAACCAATGGTCACAATAGTCCCTTATCCTTTGTCACGTGAACATACGATTTGCACGTGTAACAGTCCAAAATGAGTTTATAGTGGGATTTAGAATGTCTCTTATCTCCCCTTCCTTTGTTCAGTCTCTAAACAGCAAGTAAAAAAATTGTCCTTATTATCCATCACGTTTTTAGATGTTAATTTTATAACGAGCTCCAGGCGCTCCCCGTACAGTGGCGTCCTCCTCGGATTAACGGCGACCCGCGGAACTATCGGTACTCTCTCTTGAGATCCAAAACGACGTACGAGCAATCACTCGCAAACGCTGAGTCACATCTTGCCTATACCTCTTCACACCCGGCACAACGTCCTTGCGCTTGTGTACGTTTGCTCGCATCGCAAGAATATACAAATGACTGAGACTTCGCGGACTCCGCCGACAACTCGTACAGTCGCCGCAAAATTAATCACCGCCCGCCGAGTGGGGCGCCCATTTATTAAACTTACCTACTTTGAAAAGCGCGCAAGATAAATTTAATTCCCAACAATTAGCCGTGCATAACACCGCGGCCAACGTAAAACGTGTCAATTGGTTATTTACTAAGCCGCGACACCCTTGAATTATTTATACTACTTTGCTGGTAAAATGGCGCGAACGCAATTTTTGTTAGTTTTAAAATCGAGGAAGAACCGGTGGAGAACATTTCTTGCGGAAAAAGTAACGCGGTTGAGTCACGCATTACACAGTCGGTATTTAGGAACTTGGATCGGAATTCTTTGTTTATGTGTTTTGCGGAAGTCTTATATTTTTTTCCGAGACTGTAGACATATATCGCGTGAGGATTATTCAGTATTTCACGCACACTAATGGCAGGTAGTCGAGTTGACACATACAGCGTTGACAACCGGTTACCTTCTAAAAAGAACAAGACGTTTAGTTCTCGGTTTCTGTAGCACGCCTTGTTTAAATTATTAAGTTCACTCGGCCATCTTTTTTTTTTTTTCTTTTTTCTTTAATCAATACAACCCTCACGAAAAAGGAGTTCTGTTTGCCAGGCACTAAATTGAATAAGTCATGAACACGTTGTCAATAAAATTGCACACCTCGTACACGGACGTGCGAAGATTGTATAAAAATATGTGACAAAAATTCTGAGCCATATGCAAAAAAAAAACAGAAGCTGGGAATTAATTAGATGGCGCTTGCCGATGTTGGAAATTTTTCTGCTCCGCGGTCTGTTTGCCATTTTTGTGTTTATTATGCCATTTATTCGATTGCCTTAATATATTTTAAAATTCAAACGAGACATTTGACGCATTTGGCTGCTTACATATAAATATGACGCACGTATGGAATGAATTAATTGCTTCTTAAGAAGGCCATTTGCTTATCGATTTATTCTACATATTTTACTCGGGTTATTTAGATTATCTAACGTTTTTAAACGATGCCTTCTTACCCCATTAAGTCATCGTATCGAACCATGTTTTAATTACTCCATCAATGCGGATCGTTACAGCAATCATTAAGAAAAATGTTTCACTAAATGAAAGAAACCTGAAACGTTTCATGTTTCACCATCAATCGAATATATTACCGAATCGACAAAAAGTGCACTGCTGACGCGTTAATAAGAAATGTTGCCATCAAAACATGTGCCCTTGTGGACGGGAACATTCATGAAGCTGATAGTAAAAGTCGGTTAAAAATCAATTTGTAAAGTGGTAAACAAATTAGACATATTTTTGGGTGTGACGACGGGAATTCCATTTTAGTTCCGTCGAAGCACTGTCAAGGTGACAGCTGCATCGGAAAATTGCGCGCGCAGCTCTTATCAGCTGATTGCCAGGCGAAGCTGCAAGATCGCATAAAACGAGTCCTTGAAGAAGCGGAACGAAACGTGCTCTGAATCTTGATGCTCCGGAAAATTGAATATTACTGTTCGGAGAACGCGAGTGGATATTTTTAATCCTGAGTAGAATGAATTTTATGAAATTTTATGAAATTCATTCTACTCCCGGTGAAAGTTGAATTTTTTCTCCTTAGGATAAAATAGGATAAATTCGATGGCTCTTTTTAAAGAAATCCATTTATCATGAATTAATTTATTATTCATTCGAAAAATTAAAAATTTCTCTGTTCATCGAAATGGGGCTATTTTTCATTCGCGAAGTGAATGCAATTTTCGAAGTTTCTCACAGTTTTGAATTGCGTATCGGTCAGGTGATGTCGATCGAAACGGGTGATAGTCCGTTAGATAAGCCTCACGAGGACGGATTTCGCAATATGAGAAATAAATAACGTACATTTTTAACGTATCGGTAGTCGGAGACAGTCTGAGATAATTGTGACCCGGTTTAGAATGAAATTGTGACTCGTTTGGGTAAACTGTCGTCACCTCGGATAGACGAAGCGGGAGAAAGAAAAAACAGCCGTAGCGGGCCGCGATGAATATTCACGGTGGCGGCATGAATCAACGATTTTCCGTGACACATCGTTAAACGACTCGCGAACAGGTCGCTCGTAATGCGCATTGCTCGGCCCTGTTTACACCGAGTGCGCGATCCTCGCCGAACGATGCCGCTGCACCGAGTGCAGAGTGCATAGAGCATAAGCACGGATGCTTCCATTAAACGTCACCCAGACCTCGATGGCCACTTCCCCCGAAACATCACGTGAACCCCGTTGACCGACAGGGATGGGCCTCGACATATCCACTGCCTTTAATCGCATAAACGGTGAGACCACGAACTTCTCATTTCTCATTTCATTTAAATGCATCGCGGAAGCGCAAATCCGTTTCCATCTCGAGGAACGGTCGAGGCAGTTACGACGCCCATATTTACCATCCTCGTGCAACTCTGTCGCCATATTAGTGATTAAAAAAGTTTCAATTGCGATGCAGCTCAGCCTCGATGCAGTCACGACTCTGGTACTTTGCTCTTCTCTCTCGCGAGCGATTTTCATCGCGATCTATGGACGGAACTTAACGAGGAACGCGCGAGTAAGCTCGACGAGCGATGACTCTTCTCGTTCCCGATCGTGACGACACGTGCTGACTATCCTCGTGCTAGTCGTGTGGGATATATACCGAGTGTGTGTCAATCCGCCAAGTGAGTCATTCCCTTCTTTTGCCACCGCATCCGCCAACCGATCGTAATAATAGAACGAAATTGATTCATTCGCCGATAAGGATACGCGGCTCTCTCCTGATTACTCCTTTCGCTCCTATATCGATCACGGATTAACCCTTTCACCTTTGATAAAGCTTTACGTGAATTATATTGATAATAATCTTTTAAGAAGTGCCTTCATCTATTTGATAGGAAGCTGGGAAAGCATTTCTTCCGAGGAGAACTAGTGTTCAATGAGCATTTATAAATTGTGCACGGTCTCTTTAAGTCTCTCGCGTTATCACCTCTTGGAAATCGTGAATCTCGCGATATCGCGCAGTCCTCGACTTGAACGAGAAATTATCACTGGCTCATCGGTTTTTCGAGCCACGGGACTAATAGGCCTCCGGCTCTAGAGACTTCTTGCTTGGTAATGCGATTTTCCCCTAGAATATTTATCGTATAAAATCCCCGTTGAGAGAGACCCGGCCTTAAAGCACTAGAATTACCGCGGGGAATTTATTACAGCTCGCTCGACGTTTATTCATTTTAAGGGAGACCTTAGGCTTAATCGAAGGCTAATTTATCTCAAAGCTATGCGATTACGGGACCAATGCGATAAATCGATTCCGAAATGCCCCCTAATGACCTGGACAATTTAATAAATATCTAATTTACGGACGGCCTCCTCATTTGTCCGGGAATTTATTTAACGCGCTTGCTGCAGGTCGGTAAGAATATTCAACGCTTATCGAGGTTATTTATTACGGGTAATTTATGACGGTGACAATTTGCACGGGAAAACGTATTTGATGGTGTTAATATCAGGGCATTATTATCCCAGTTGGTCGTAGACATTTAAAGTGAAATATGAATAAGAGAGGAAGTCTATTTTTTAACTCGGAGAAATTCAGTTTAATATTATTCGATCCTTGATGAGTTACATTCAATTTGTAAAATAACTAGGAATCCTTTCCTCATGCGTCATCGAGTCGGCGTGGTGCGTAAAAAATGTTTTCTCATGATAATGTCCCTTCTCACATTTTTCCTTTCTCAATTGATCATTCGATGGATCGCGTCACTCCACCGGATTATTTCAATCGTGAAATCACTTTATGACGTCATGTCAGCCTCATCTATTAAAACGATTACGTCTTCCCTGATCCGAGTTACCTGCAATACGATGATCGCGAGTGAGTTACCCACTTATTCCCACTTACGAAGGCCAATAAGGCGCATGTTTCCGAGATTCTTCATCCCTGCCCCATTTTCGAGATGATGCGGTTCTGCGTCACTCTGTTTACGAATTAAAGGTAAAAATACATCGAAAATTTCTGTCACTTGAGATTCATATTTTACCTTACATCTTTTTCGAAAAATCATTATCTCTTCATGTCAACATGCCATCATTTGGGTTGCTAAATACAACATGTAGATTACCGCAAATAATTAATTTCCCTGGGAGAGTCAATTTTTCGCTCAGGACGAATTGTCAATTAATTAAATTGACGTTTCGTTCCAGTCAGAATTTCCACGAACATCGTGAGCCTTTTCCATTGACGGTTCGCGGATTTACTAATGGGGCCCCACTTCCCTTTGGCGGCCAATAACGTCCGGGAAAAGTGAATCGAGCCGGCGCGCCGCACCGACCGCCGCGGCGTGCACGTAGTCAGTGGCGACGCCCCGCCACGAGTCAGCCGCGGCGTCGCCGCCGCGACTCGCGTCGCTTAGTTATGCTTACACCGCGTTCACGGACTGTTCACGGACGAGCGCGAGAACCGCGTGATATATCGGCAAGGTAGCGCTCGCGCGCGATTCGCAAATACGACCGGCCCTCTTTTTTAATTGACATTAATAATTCGGTTCGTCTCGATTTGTCCTCGAAATTCGCGGTACATATTCCGCCCGACCAAATGAATTTCCTACTTTCTTTTTCATTTCTTCTCTCCATCCTTCGATTTTATCATTCTTCTCCTTCGATAATATAGCCTGAATATATCGAAGGATAAGAATTATCTGGATTTAATAGAGGCTTTACAGTGTCGGTGGTTTTGACCTCCCCTTTGATTTTTTTTTTTAAAGCTTTGATGGGCACATCGGAAATCTAATCTCGGCGATGGCATAAATAGCGGTTATTTCGATCCATTGTTTTCGGACGCTGTAATCTCATTTTTTTGTTTTAAGCTCCTCGGGATCCTTTTTCCTCGATTTTCTCTCGATTTCAATTTTTCCTTTCCTTGTAATCGTCGGGATCGATTCGCGATTAATTGATTTCCGAACTTGGTGGGCTCGAGATTAATTCCGAAGAACTTCGCCGGCCTTGTCGAGGTCAGGGATGTCAATCGAAAGATGAACCTAACTTTGATAAGGGCGATGAAGTTCGGCTCGTTCGGGGGGAGTTTCGACCTCGATGAAGCTCGAGGATGATAACCCGGAAGTGTTAAGTGATCGGTTAACTGCAATAGGTATTAACCTCTGTACTAGATTCGAAGGTACGGACGGAACCTTATCAGGAGCTGCAGAAGGTGGGACGAAGTCGATGATAAGATATTCGGACTCTTTCGCAACCAAGGACGAATTTAAGTGGTGCGCTTCATCGCAGAAATCGTGACCGAGTCAAAGACTGAACATTTCTTGATGCACAGTGTTTTTTCGCCTAAATTGTTGAGTGTAACTCAACAATTGAAGGGTTTAAATAATTATCGAACGCGGTGAATCGTGAACGAGTTAACGGCTACGTATTTGTCAATATGCAGTATTTTTTTCATTTAAATCCTTGTTGAACAGGCATGGAAATATTAGTATGGATTGAATAAATAATTGCAGTATTATACTCCGTTCCCTTGAAATATGGAGAGAAGGCCATAAGTGGAAGCGGAAGTGTTGAGGAAGGTAATGGGTGAAGAGGGCTCTTCAAAGATAATTAATGAATCGAGAAATAAAATACAGAAGACGCGAGGCAGAAAAAGTGGAAATATTTCCTCCGACTAGAAAGCTCGGTAACGAAGATTCGAAGAGTTAATTAATTAGGTAATTCTTAAAGACTGAAGACCTAGATTAAGGCATCACCCAGGGGGCCAGAAAGTCTTTTCCATGCATAAGAAATGGATTATGCACGTTTATGAGAGCTTTATTATGCACTCTTGTGCCGAGATCTCGAGAAGATTCTAACCAGGAAAACAAGAAGACACAATTACACCTATCTTGGAATCGATCTGGCTGATCTACCAGTTCTGCAGGATTATCTTGATTGATCGGCGCAGAGATCGGCGTGGAAAAAAAATTTTAATCGGATCGGCTTCAGCTCTTATCGGAGCTTGAATGGCGACCATGGGGGTCATAGTGTATATGCCAAGTAGGTATAACAATTTTATGAATATATGAATACATTTATGTAGGAACACTAACTCAAAAATATGGGAATATATTTTTCTACGTCCGTCCGCACAGGATACAAACATTACCGTTCGCGTTATCAGCAATTTATCTTGTAATTCAGTTTATCTCTGAGGGAAGTGGATAACTTGTGAGCGATGTCCTCGGCGCTGATTACGAAATGTTTACAATTTTACAGCATTGAATGGAATGTCGAATTTTTTTTTCATCTTAAAAAATAGATCAATCCTAGATCAATGGATAGTTCGTCCGATACTAATCGCAGATTAGTAACAAATCTGTAGTTAGGAAGCGTTACGATTTTATCTTATTGTTTCGTGGCGATTTCAGTAATTCGTCATCGCTTATCTTTGGTTGGATGAGTCCTTATCAAGGTTACTTCACTACTCCGAGAAATGTCTCGTCGGATCAGCAAAGTATTTGCTGATACGACCAAACAATGCTTTATGGCCCAATCGAATGTTACACAGGTTAACAAAACATTTCCTTACAACTGGAAAATATTTCATAGTGAATAAATAATTGCAGAATTATACCCCATTAAAGGCAAAACGATTTTTGTCAACATTCATTTACTGAACTCTCTTTAAAGATTAGTGATACGGCTCGAGAAAAAGCTTGGACGCATCCTTGGTGCATTTTTCGGGATATGCAAATTAACCAGATAGGCACTCGAGTCCGCGTACCGGAAACGCTATAGAGCCATTTTATGTCGCTCGACTAGAATCGGCCCGTGATTCTCGGATATCGTAATCGGCTCGAAGAAATGTCAAGTCATTTGAAATTTCCATACGATCGACCATCGACGTGTTTACCAACCGAGTAAGCTGCGAGGCGAAAAGAATGAATGGCGTCACGCGATCGCACATTTGCTCGTTGCGAAACCGCATGAAAAACGCTGCATACGAAAGCAAAGGACTCGCCGATCGAATCGATAGATAGGAATAGACACCAGTGCCAATATCGATCCGAAATATCGATCCGCCAGCGGAGCCGATCGATAGGTCTCGATTTCCTCCCCCACGGAATTCGCCCCGTAGGCTGCCCCCTGATTCCGCGTTCAAGTTAACTTTTTTATTTATTTAAAGTGATACGAAAGGGTCATTTTATATATCAAAGGTAAAAATTATTGATAAAACTTTCCTCCAAACTAAGTGCAATCATTCGAAACGTGTCGTCAAATCAAGTGAGCTGGAATCAGGATTTATTGTTCGCCGTGTCATGTGTGTACGATAATGCGATAAAGCGATGATTTAATGCGGATGACTACCATAAATTGATTAGGGCCTCTTAAAAATCGGCCACTTATAATCTTATCGGTCGACATGTTGCGCACTTAATATTCCCGCAAATCGGGAATAACCAAATCGCCTGAGAGGAGATAGGAGTACTCGGAAGGAGGCAGCTTCTCGTTAAGCGATCATCGAAAGCCAATTATTTCCTCGTGTAAGAAGAATAGATTAATTCTAACAACGCCGTTATTGCTTGATAATATTAATCGTGTCGAGGCGACTATCATCCTCATTGAAACTCCTTTGTAACTAAAAATCATTGAACGTCCATCCGCAAAGTAACCCTATCCTCGAGCGTATATAAAATGACCGTTGATTTCACTGGTTACGCTCCTATCAGCGAGTGATAGCGCTTATCACTCGACGAAAAACTGCAAGTCACCCTATCTTCCTGCCGAGTCACCGAAATATTAAGAGACCCCATAACAGAACCACAGGTTTATCACCTAGTCGACCGGAATACCGCAAAAAAAAAATTCCGTGAAAAAAAAAACTCTTATCACTAATTAACAAACTGCATTTTTCTTTACCGAAGTAAAACTTTTAACGGCATAGTAGTGCATGTAAATTCCCAATATCTAATAATTCTCTTAAATTTGGAAGTTTCCCTTTCAACGCGCTCGGCGGCCATTTTTTTCCGTGACAATCGGTCACGTTTCTTATCCGCTAATTTTCCCTGGCAAAGTAGGGACGTGCAGGATAAGGAGTGGGATTTCTCCTGGGTCTTAGGATGTTTAGAAAGTGACTCTAAAAAATCGTTTGCTCTTGAGTCGCCTTTGCTCGGGTGTTATGGGTATCTCTTTCCGTTCGCGTCAGCGCGATCGCGACGTTCGACGTCGGTTACGACGTCGACGGACATTCTTGTGCGACGCCAAGTTGGTCACGTACGCGAATATACGGACAATATACACACACGGTTAACAATTATATGTACATTGTACACCGGTGAACGGAGACGTTGACGGCTTCCACGAAGCGGCTATCAGCGTGTTGCCGTGTCGTAAGTTTCCTCTCAGGAGTCTGACAGCAGCGATAATGGACCCTAGGTATAACAATGTTCCTGGTACAATATCCGTGGAAATCCTTTCTCCTATCGAACTCTCATGTACATCGACTTATCAAATATTTCTGGAAAGAGGGCAAAGATAAATTAACGGATTCTAACAACCATCGGAGAGCATTCTTTTGAAGAAAATGTTGCTGAACTAGCAGATGAGTTTGTCGCAACCGAGGGAAATAATCTTTATTGCCGATGAATCCTCTTTCCGCGGGCACTCATGGGAGAAATTTCGTTTATTTTTCAGGCATGTACACCATGCGCATGCTGGACAACAGCAGCAACAACGCCTCCGGTCCAACGGGAGCAGCGGCTCTTCCAGGTGTGCAGTCGGCAGGAGGAACAACGGCGACGACTGCCCCAGGTGTCACCGCCATTCCCGTTATCACTGACGAGAGGATGGACGCGTCGAGTGATAGCGCCGTCAGCAGCATGGGAAGCGAGAGGGTGCCATCCCTGTCCGATGGCGAATGGATGGAGACGGGATCAAACTCCAGCCACACCCAGGCGGATTCCCACTATTCCATGGATTACGCCAGGTGAATAAATCCAGATGACCGGCTTCGAACACCTGCAACTAGCATTCGGCCAAAGTGGTTTTTACTTTGTCAAAGAGAAATGCCAATTTTTTTTTTTTTTATGAACTCGCAAATTGTTTTTTGGCTGATACTGGGAGGAAGGTTCGGCGTCCTCTTTTGTGGCTGCCGGTATTTAATTACCCTTTGTTAATGAGTGGATTTTCTTCAGCAAATACCGCATGCCCTACGACTGCAGCTACTCGATATCAGGAAGAACCGGAGGCTCTCCACGTTGTCAAGCTGAGCGCACCATGCCACCGGTTGCGCAGAAGAAACATCAGATGTTCGCCAAGAGATACTTCCAGGAACAAGGAACTGGTTGGTATAAATTAGGAATATCAAAAACAAAGATTCGACGGTTTGACATCGATCTCTTTATTGTTTTTATTCAGGTTCGCCATTAGGAGCCAGTGCTCATCCTACGACGCCGATAAAATACGAGTATGATACTCAAACCGTGGGTGCTGGGGCACCTGGGAACGCTTACTCGGGACCGATAGAAGGTGCTGCTGGTCCTCAGCCTGAAATGAAGTACACGTGCAGCGTCGATTTCTCACGCCATCAGACCGGTAATGATTATTCAGAGTTGCCTCTATAATGATTGCATAAAGCCGTTTCATCGGAAATAATTATTCCGGTGCTCGTTTGCAGGACGCACCGCCATTGAGCACATCCACCACAATCACACGTACCATTTACCTGCGGAGAGCTCTGGATCGCTTCAACGTCCCCTGTCTCGCGACAAGAAAGGTGAGGCGAGGACTACGTTATTCGGAAATAATTAATCGGTCTCAATGTTGGTATGAAAACCTAATATGAATTGTTATTTATATAACAATATTTTTAACTACATGTTTGAGCTGGGAATTGTCAGATCGAATTTTATTTCTTGTCCAAGGTAAACGAAATGACATCGTTAAATGACATCAAACAGGTACATAGGGTACGATTTAAGTGACTAGCACTATTTGGCAACTTTTCCCTACCCTGCCGAGATGTATGAAATTTTATTTTATTTGAATTATGCTCAACGTTGCGTTTAATTGCAGTTCGCAAGAGTGAAGGAGAGGAGCATCTCACGAGGGATGAGAAGCGAGCAAGGGCGTTGAACGTCCCGATTCCTGTACACGATATCATCAATTTGCCGATGGACGAGTTCAACGAACGACTCAGCAAGTACGACCTGAGCGAGGCGCAACTCTCGCTGATACGCGACATCAGAAGACGAGGGAAGAACAAAGTGGCGGCGCAAAACTGCCGTAAACGCAAACTCGATCAGATCATCAGCTTGGCCGATCAGGTCAAGGAAATGCGCGATCGCAAGATGAGGCTCATTCGAGAGCGGGATTTCATGCTGCTGGAGAGGCAACGCGTCAAGGACAAGTTCAGTCAACTCTACCGGCATGTCTTCCAGGTTGGTACTGACCCACCAAACACGGTTACGTAATAATAATGCAACGTACAATCGTTGGATAATTAAGATTCCACAAATGTTTAGACATTAAATGAATGTTTGTTTTAGTCTCTCCGGGACCCAGACGGCAACCAGTACCACCCGTACGAGTACAGCCTCCAGCAGTCGGCGGACGGGAACGTCCTCTTGGTGCCCAGGAATCAGACGAACCCCCACCACCCGCGCCCCTCTTCGATGGAGCCGAAGACAAAGCCAGATCCCGAGCACAAGGAGTGAAGCACCGCGAGGGATCAGCTTCGAAGCGATTGGTAATCAGAAGACACCTCCACCGGCTCCGGCACGAGGTCGCACCTCCGGCCTCGAGCCGAGGGACGTCATCGTCAGCGATCATCGCTAGATAATGTGTCAGGCCTCGACGTCCAACGACCTGGCGAAATGGCGACTAATCCAAGGCGCGATCGCCACGCGCCGACAGAAGACTGTGTCAACTTTAGGCTTACGACTCTGCGAAGTCGCCGCGGCTCCTGGGAGGAAGAGTTACCCCTTTTGGACCTCGAACCTAGGACGATTCCGAAAAGAAGGCAAACGTAACGCCGAATCACCTTCCTGGAGAGAGAGACAACGGTCGCTCTAGGTGTTACGCGTAGATCTCTGGCTGAGCTTTCGCATTTTCCTCTCCCTTAAACGATGCTGGAAGCTTCACTCGGGCTGGATCTCGATGAGAGAGTCGCAGGAAAGAGCGACCAGCACGAAGAATCCGAGAATGTCCCTGAGCCGCGAGCGGCTGTTTTTACTAATCTTAGGGAGACTCAACGATGATGGAACCTCGAAGTAGTACAAGGAGATACAGCGCCATGCATTGAAATCGTCCCCACTTTAGGGGCCCTAGATCTTCGGATTTTTTTTTATAGTCTCGATTTTGAGCTCACTTTCGGCAGAAACGATTATGGACGTTACGTCTCTTTGTACTACTTCATGGATGGAACGATTCGCTTGGTCTAGGATCTAGGGAGACGGGGTCGCGAGGCTTTAGACGATTAACGACTCTTCCTCCTGCCTTAACGCCTGGATTCTTAATTCGATTAAATCAAAGGTGTGGGACACTTGCGAATATTCTCCTCGAGGCGAAGCGATCGTAGAGTGCGATCTCGTTCGATTGGGGAATTATTTGGTAATTCGCGAGACCTGACGCGATGTTCGGGTCTTATGTCGAAAAGTCAAATTTCGGCCCCGTCGAGCTGAATAGTCGCAATCGGTTAGGATTTCCTAACTTGTAACGAACCACCGCGAGCTTTCGCATTAGTTCCCGAGCGGCCGAGGTAATTATTAAAGGTACAGTCGGTAGGGATGAAGTACTCGAAGAGGTACTCGACGATGATGGGCTGCGACAGCTCTCGGCAACTGAGAAATGAGTAGATTAGAAGCAGAGTCGACAAAAGGCAAATGTTCGAGTTATCGGGTAAGGAGAGGCACCGAAGTCGCAGGGCTGTTATTTTTCTCTTTCTCATTAACAAACAAAAGGAGCCCCCGTTGCATTCGCTCAAGTTCACTTACTATTCTAGACGAGGCAGCGTTTCGAATTTGGGATCGCCCTAACGCAACAGGGAAAATGACCGATCACGCGAGACGCTGTTCTCAATAAGCCGCAACTATGAAAAGTAAACGAGTTAATCAAGTTAAAACGTACGCGAGTGATAACCGCGATGCGCCGCTAACGCTGCAATCACAAAGTAGTATGAGATGAAATGCCATAAAAAATCTGAGATCGTAGGTCCAGATTCTGGGGCCACTTTCTGTGTAACCGATCGTTGGCGTTATGTCTCCTTATACTACTTTTCATGGCTGCAATATTGTTCGCACGAGGAATATATGGCGAAGGGTTGATAACAAATGAACCTATTTTTGTAACGCGCGTGAAACAAGACGAGAAACATTCAGGTATTTCACATTTGCCTTTTTATGTATATATCGATGTAGTTAGTATAATTTTCTATAAATACTATACATATTACGATATATGAGAGCGAAAAGGGGAGATTTGTGCATTTCTACGAGCCCGGGGTAATGTACGTAAGTGCACCTATGTATATACACACAGCGCGCATACGAGACACGACACACACCCACACATGCAAACACATAGCGAGTAAAGCGCAGGCAGTAAAAGTTAAATATAGATATTATATTGTAACGAGGAAGGAAGTTACGAGAAGCGCGACTTTCGTCGAGGATTATTAATATCGCCTGATTACTAAGGTTTACATACACAATTGTATTCATACTACTGGGTGTAGGATGGCTTTTGCGTACCGTACTCTCGACGAGCGGACTTTTTATGTGAGCCGCTCTTAAATAAAAGGAAGAGAAAAAAAAAGAAACGCAAGAAAATGTAATAAAAAATGTGGAATTCGCCGCGGGAAGCGCAAACTCTCTCGTTTTACGTATCTTGTTTGTTTAAACGATACTAATCGGCTGTTCGTCCGGCAAGACTTTTTAGATCTCTCCTCCCTGAATTTCTATATTGTACAAATGAATCTGAAATAAACCTCTGGGGACAAAATAACCACGAGGGCGGATGTTTTTGCAGTTCCTCGTATCGTTTCTCACCATCTTTGTTGTTTATTTGCCACTTCATCGAGCTTCGTGACTATCCAGATAGAAATTTATAATCACGATTCATACCGACAGATGGCGACATATCACTTGTCGCATTCATGGAGCGATGCCTCCAGTATTCGACTTGAATCAGAGATGGCGCCACATCCTCCGTTCTATTTTGAAACGATCTTCAGGTACCAGAAACGTCCGCAGAAATAACGGCGCTCGTGTCGCAAGAATTTCATAGCTGCCTCGTTTTAGCCATAGCTACTCTCAGTTCTCTCTGGTATATCGTTCTTGGTAGTTCTTCTGTCAATGTGTCAGTACCGTTTTGAGGCAAACGTGGTTAGGAATTGAATGTTTACTGTATCAAAAATAGTATATCATTCACGGTTAATACCTGATAATTTAAATTAACTCCTAGTATTAATAGAAGTGTGAAGAACAGAATTTCGTGGGCAACATGGACAAGGACGATCACAATTCTAAATCGAAGGTGTGCTTAATAATTGAGTTATCAAGTTTATTAACTATATTTCAATATTTAAATTACTAGATTAATCGTGATAGAAAATAGCACGTAGTGTAACGTAGTTGATTTATTAATTTATCTAATAATGAGTTTTTATTTCACAGAGAAGTAGAAAGAACGAAAGAGATAATGATTCAAATTCGGATGATGATTATGTAGCTTATGTTCCTGTGAAGGAACGGAAGAAACAACAGCTTATGAAGCTTGGTAGGTTGGGGCAATTGAAGGAGGAAGGTACCAGTGGGTTTGGAGCAAAAAGTAGCAGTGAAAATGAAAAGGATGAAGGGGATGACAACGACGGTCAAGTATGGGGAAGAAAGTCCAATATCTCTCTCCTGGATCAACACACAGAATTGAAGAAACTGGCCGAAGGTATGTATCCGAGTCCTAATAATGGACAAATTGATAGCTATTAACAAATAGTTATTTAAAAATGTCATTATTAAATCCTGATTACAGCAAAGAAAGAAAGCGCTATGGAGAGGCAACTGAAAGAGGAGGAGAAGATTTTGGAAAGCGTCGCTGAAAATAAAGCTCTTATGGGTGTTGCCGAACTTGCAAAAGGCATTCAATACGAAGACCCTATAAAGACAAGCTGGAAACCACCCAGAGCTATCCTAAGTCTTGGCGAAGTACGGCACGAAAGGATCAGAAGAAAACTCAGAATTTTGGTGGAAGGGGAGGAAATTCCACCGCCTTTAAAAAGCTTCAAGGAAATGAAATTTCACAGGGGAATTTTGAACGGGTTGGAAGCAAAAGGAATTACTAAGCCCACTCCTATCCAAGTCCAAGGAATACCCACGGTGTTAGTTACAGATTTTTTTTTTTTAATTAAGTGTTATTCTAAATAATTTTTCATTCAGAATTATGTCAATTATTTTTATTCTTGCAGTTTATCAGGACGTGACATGATTGGCATAGCTTTCACCGGTAGTGGTAAAACTCTGGTGTTTGTTCTCCCGATCATAATGTTCTGTCTCGAGCAAGAGACAGCCATGCCATTTATGCGAAACGAAGGACCGTACGGTAAATTATTCATTTAATAAATTTACTCACTTCAGAAAAAATCGAAGTTCCATGTAATTCAATTTCTTGAACAGGTCTAATTATTTGTCCATCGCGTGAATTGGCCAAGCAGACTTACGACATCATACAACATTATACAAACAGTCTGAGACAAGCTAGTTGTCCAGAGATACGCAGCTGCCTAGCGATTGGTGGTGTGCCTGTATCCGAATCCTTAGAAGTTATTAATAAGTAAATAATTTATATCCAACTATTGACACTGCATTCTCCTAAATTGTATACATCGTTAACATACAATTTTCTAGAGGAGTGCATATCATGGTGGCCACTCCTGGTCGGCTCATGGACATGTTGGATAAGAAGATGGTGAAGCTCAGTGTCTGCCGCTATCTCTGCATGGATGAAGCAGATCGTATGATAGACATGGGATTCGAAGAGGACGTTCGAACAATTTTTTCCTTCTTCAGAGTATGTACATCTCGCTCAAATACCGACATAAGTATTAATAAAAGCTGAACTCAATTTCTCCCACAGGGTCAAAGGCAAACCCTGCTGTTCTCAGCCACCATGCCGAAGAAGATTCAAAATTTTGCCCGCTCCGCCTTGGTAAAACCCGTAACCATCAACGTGGGTCGTGCAGGAGCTGCATCCATGAACGTCATCCAGGAAGTAGAGTACGTCAAACAAGAGGCTAAAATCGTGTACCTACTGGAGTGTCTGCAAAAGACGCCACCACCCGTCCTCATATTCGCCGAGAAGAAGCAAGACGTGGACGCCATCCACGAATATTTACTTCTAAAGGGAGTAGAAGCGGTCGCGATTCACGGAGGAAAGGGTAAGCGATCCGTCCAATTGCTCTCCTTATCGATAGGAACATCGTTGACACGTTAAATTAATTTCAGACCAAGAAGAAAGGTCGCGATCGGTGGAAGCATTCCGAGCCGGCAGAAAAGACGTTCTAGTAGCTACGGACGTAGCGTCCAAGGGTCTCGATTTCGCGGATGTGCAGCACGTTATTAATTACGACATGCCGGATGACGTCGAAAATTACGGTGATTTAGAATAATATTTAATCCTTCGCTTATTATCACCGCTCCCGTAACGCCGTTTTATCCTTTATCGTTGCAGTCCATCGCATCGGAAGAACCGGTCGTTCCGGACGTACGGGAATAGCTACGACGTTCATTAACAAGGCTAACGACGAGTCTGTGTTATTAGATCTGAAGCATTTACTGATGGAAGCCAAACAAAAGGTCCCTCCCTTCCTGCTCGAGCTCTGCTCGGAGAACGAGAAGTACCTGAACCTAGGAGGTCGGTATTTCAATGTACAATTATACTCCTGGGATATCTACATTGCAAAAAATCCCCTAAAATTTCAGACGAGCGGGGCTGCAGTTATTGCGGTGGTCTCGGGCACAGAATCACGGAGTGTCCCAAATTGGAAGCCATTCAGAACAAACAAGCCTCGAACATCGGTCGTCGTGATTATTTGGCCAGCAACGCAGCGGATTATTAATTCCGCTTCCGGCCCCGAACGTATGCAGCTGTAAATACACACATATTTTTTTTTGTGCTCGTTCGTCGCACAGAGTGTGCGTGTCGTGTCTTTCGAGTTTTGTATATCCGTATACTAAAATTCTCAGCGGAATTGTACGTATGAAATGGCGAAACATCGTATGTAATTCATAACGCATAGTTTTAACGGTATTGCGTTGCATTTAATCGTGCTGTCGCCAGGCTGAGAGCGTTGAATACATCTGCGGAATAATGGCTCGCATTGCAAACTGCAGCCAGTTCGGTGCTGTCGCCTCGGCTCATTATCGTCAGTAGTTCCTCGGAACTTCCCAAGATACAGGCGGAGTCCCATGACGAAACTTAGTTTCCCTATTCCAACTCGGAACATTCTCAGGATAAATGTTAACGTGCCCACACAAGGTGGGTTGCGGGACTGATAAACTCGCCCGTGTACACTGGCGGTCACGAATGGCTTCCTCGTGTACATGGTGCAGCCTGGTGGTAGTAACGTAAACGTAACATAAAAAGCGAGCTCGAGAACTTATGTACTTGCGGTACCCGATGTATAATAAACTGTAAAATAATTAATGTAATAAAGCAACTTATTGAACAATAACAATGAGTACGTTTAATTAGACGAGCGTGTCTAGCAACCCTCTAATCGCCTATTCCCGATCCTTGAAAATCACCCGTAGACCTAAGTTAATGTTAATTTTCTTGCGGTGGGAGAAAACTTTGCGTGCCACTTCCTCGGTTGTCCTGTGATCCTATTAGAAATCAGAAATTTCAACCACTAAAATTTTTGCCCGGGAGAATTTCGTGCCACCTCCTCAGTTGTCCTATGTTCCTGTTAGAAATCAAAAAATTAAAATTTAAAAATTCCCGAGCAAAAATGTTAGAGGTTGAAATTTTCGATTTGTAACAGGAACATAGGATAACCGAGGAGGTGGCACGGTGTTTCTCCCGAGCAAAAATTTTAGGGGTTGAAATTTTCGATTTCTAACAGGAACATAGGATAACCGAGGAGGTGGCACGGAGGTTCTCCTGGGCAAAAATTTTAGGGGTCGAAATTTCCAATTTCTAACAGGATCACAGGACAACCGAGGAAGTGGCACGCAAAGTTTTCTCCCACCGCAAGAAAATTAACATTAATTTAGGTCTACGGTTGATTTTCAAGGATCGGGAATAGGCGATTAGAGGGTTTGCTAGACACGCTCGTCTAATTAAACGTACTCATTGTTATAGTTCAATAAGTTGCTTTATTACATTAATTATTTTACACACACTCAATTATTTTTCCATTCCGCCTTATGCTCAGTTTCCAACTTGACGCGCGTAGTCAAGATGGCGGCACGCAGATTCGAATCACAGCGGGAGCCTAGAGGCGCGTAGACCGCGACTAATCATCGTTTCAACCTTATTCCGGTCGAAGAACAAAGGTGTCAAGCCCGAGCCAGGTGGAGCACGGTCATCGGCGGAACGTTAACGTGCCCTGGATCCGCGTCTGCGTGCGATTAGAGATCAAAAGTTACGACGACGAGGCTGCCTCTTAATCCTCGGCTGCTGGGAGTAGAGCGAAAGACGCTGGGTCACTCTCGCGAGAAAGAGAGAGAGGCGACGATCCGCGCGCGGCGCGAGCGAGAGAGAGCGGAGAGGTTCGGGTCGTCGGCCAATGCTGGCGCGCGGGGGGAGAGGAGGGGGTTGTCCTCGAAGTTCCGCGAGCGCGGTCGCGACGGTTCAGTGCGACGCGGACCGCGTTCGAGCGAGGATTGGTGCTTCGGGAGGTGCGTGCGACGTGCGGCGTGCGTGCGCGGGTCGTAACGTGTTCTCGGGAGCGTGGGACGTGCGCGCACCCGTGACGCGTCCCCACGTGAGGAGGGCGAGTCGGTGAACCGGGACGCAGGATGCGGCCGACGGGTGCGACCAACCTCGAGTCCCGGTGAGGTTAGAAAGAAGCCGGGGGCGCCGATTGAACGGAACAACGTGCCTCGACGGACCGGAGAGGGAGAGAGACGCCGCCAGGCCCCGAGCCAAGGGAGGGAGAGAGACAGCGCTACGCGTCTTACCTGGCCCAGGAGAATGTGAGTAAGACAGCGCTGCCAGATCTACTGCCGCGGCGACGCGGCCGACCGACTCCTTCCGCGACCACTGGCTCTTAGATCCCGTCTCCTCAAAACTCCTCCCTTGTATCCCCTCCCCTGACCCCTCGTTGCCCAATCTAAGTATTCTCTGTAACGGAATTCATGGCCACGGTTCCCCTCAGGTCCTTATCGAATGTGGAGAGCAAGCCCTGTACAATTTTTCTACATTGCGCGTATTTTCCTTGGGATTCTTGTTCGAAAAGTGACCAACCGCGTCAAGGATGAAAAGCGATGCTTCATCTCGTCGCTTGCATGGTTGTTCCTATTGTTAGTGGGTTTTGGACCTCGAAGCGACGCGCTCAGTGGGACCTCGGACCTAGGACTCGCGTCCGCCCGATCGACGCGCTCGGTTGGCCGTTTTTCAATTAATTATCACGGGTAAACCATGCACCGTAGAGAAAACATTGTACAGGGCTTTTCGACCTTGTTTTCAACGAGCTACGAACCGTGGCCAAGAATTCTGACGCACACCCTGGGGGAGGGGAAAAATCTACGCGGAATATAGAGCGAACGGCCGAGGAGGGACTTTTTTCCCGGCGGGATAAACGATCGGTTTCTTGCCGCAGCGTCGAGCCGGTTTGCGGATTTCCGCTGGAGGATCCCCCGCGGAATATTTGCTGGGGCATCCTTTGGAGTATCCGCTGGAATATCCCCGGGAATATCCTGGAGACGTCGCGGCCGCTCTTACGGCGCGATGCTCTTAACCGCCCAATTATCCCCCTCTCTTTCTCTTTCGCTCTCTCGCTTCTTTCAAAGTCTCGGGAAGAATTGCGCAAACCTTTCCGCCTGGCTGGCCGAGTCTCGCGGAGTTGCGTCAAAGGTGCTCTCTCGACGGCGTTCGTAATACTCGGAGCACGTGGGGATCTGCTGGAACTAATTAGAGCGGGCTCTCGGCCAGGTCGACCCCCTCCACCAGTTCCCTCGTCCTCGATTCCGGAGACGAACGCGAGGTCGATCGGACGCCTTTGCGGAATCCCGTGATTCTGATTTTTCCCCGATCCGACGAGGGACTACTCCCGGGAAATCAGGGAAAATCACCCAAAATGCTATTAATCTCGCAGTTAAGGTGCGCAATGCGAGACGATAATCCGCGATAATACCCAGAATGTGACGTCTTTAACGCGATTAAGGCTAGATTAATTCGAGGAATACTTCTCGGATATATTTACGCTGACTCTTCCATGTCCCCTTAACCCCTTGCCTTACGACTTAAATTCCAATAGCGCGTGCCATAAACAAAAATGTCGGTCATACATCGGGCCATTTCACGGTTTGGCTTAACGTTCAACGTCTCGTACGTATTGTTTACATTTCGCCCGATTGACATACCACGTCTCGTTCACGTTTGGCCCGATTGATTTGCCACGTCTATCACGCGATATTGTAGGTTAAGAGGTTAAGCGCCGTTCCGACTCCTCGATTATTTATTTATCCCCGGGAAGGAGGAGGATCGACCCCGGGTTGGGCTTACTCCGCGAAATCCGATGGATCCCGAAAAGACGAACGCGCTCCCTTGGGCCGCATCTCCGCGGGGATTCCGCCTGGATTCCGCCTGGATTCCGCGTCTGAAGCGCGACCGGGAGGCGAGACGGGGCGTGATTAAAGGCCCGCCGTCGACGTTTGTATCCCCCGCGATTGTGCTTCAAAGCGGCGAATTACTCCCGGGCGAGACTCCTCTCGGCGTGTCGTCCCTTAAGTCACCCCTCGTAACGCGAAATCGTCCCTTATGGCGAGGGAATGGGAGCCCCCTCTCCCCCGTAATTCCCGGGGAAAGCGGGGAAACCGTCGCGTTTATACCCTTGATAACTCCTCGTCGGCTGGGATCGCACCTAGGTAGGATATCCGTCTATAAAGTCGTCCTCGAACGTGCCCGGAACGTATACCAAATTTTCCTTGTCCGCGGAAAATGCGTTTGAAGTCAAGTACCGATCGACACAAATTTATAACACGTATTATAAATCTATTACACGTGTGTACTATACTTGTACTATGTCATACGCTTCATTTGAAAGGGTGTTATATATTTAGTATACCATGTCCGAATGAAACTTCCAACGAGAGTGTTATAAAATTGTGAGATTTTTTTTTTTAAACAGGGCATTCACATTGTCATCTTTGTAACGATTCCGTACGTTCGTGTAACATTTTGCAGAGTGCCCGAGAGAGATGGACCTCTGAGCCGACCTCGGGGAGGAAGAGGAGGCACCCGGGAGAGGCCGGAGGGCCCGGCGGACGCGATGCCCGCCGACCTAGGGCCCGGCACGATGATCGGCAAGCCGGACGACGGAGACGGGCCCAGATAGCGCGGACGGTCCCCGGCCCGGTCCCGCGATGGAGCCGCCAGGATGGGCCCACCTCGCCCTGGCCCTCCTCTGCTGGCTCGCCCCCCTCGCCGCTGCGTCGCCCCTTCTGCCGCCGCCCCCCAGGCACGCCGGTGAGTCCCCGAATTTTCAGAGGATACTATCATCCCGGAAAAAAAAGAAAAAGAGAAAAAGGCCATTGACCCTAAAGAAATGTTCCTTCGAGCGGTACCTCTAATGAAATGTTCTGTCAACTTGAAGAATCATCTAAACTCGAACGCTAATCGGATGCAAGCATTCATTCGGGAGTCAAATAATTATCCTTGGAATTAACGAGACATTTCTTTGGTTCAATGAATTTCTTTTTTTTTTCTCCTCTCAGCCGTAAAGACGGCCTTATGCCTTGCGCGACGAATTGGACGGAGAAAGATTTTTCCGTCTTTTTATTTTTTCTCTCGGTTTAATAACGTCGCGGATTTTTGGGCGCAAACGTTTGAATGGCAGGAGCGCGGTAACTCGGGCGGAGGGGGTAAATGCGCGGCGTTTTATTTAAATAAACGGGAGGGAAATTGATTGCGCCAGACGCGGAGCATAAATTAGCCCGGATGCAACGATAACCGCGATTGTTGCACCCCGGTCCCCCATATGATATGACCACGGGGACGGTCGCGTATATCGATCCGGGGGCCATTAGTACGTACAAGGGTTGAAATTGCTCCCGATTCGTCAAAATCCGGGACGTTTTCTTGTTAGACCGCCGCGCGGATTCCTGCCCCCTCCCTCCTGTGACGAGATACGTTTACGGGCGGCCCTGTCGATGTACACGTACACTGGTCGAGAATTGCCCCCTGGGAATTTCGGGACCCCCTGTACCCTCGTCCCTCTGTATGGATACCCGTGCCCGATCTATCCATGACAACGGGTACCTATCCGACTTTATGGTCGGCGGTAAAACGAGAAACGACGGGCCGCTTGTGTTTCGGCCAAACCGGAGAAGCGGCGAGATCCGCCGTTAAACCCTGACAAGAACGCTCGTAATAACGACGGGGACCCCGTGATAACGTCGATCGCCATCATAGGTGGTGTCCCATTGTCCGATCGCTCTCCTGCAACCGATATCCCGGGTCTCGGGATTAAGATTCCCGAGGAACTCCGCGATTATAAGAGAGGAGTAACGCCGAATCTCCCGGTATAAAAGTGACCAGACCTCGCCGCGAGGAATAATTACTCGTTACCCTGGGATAATTGCCGCAATAACGGAACCGTAATATCATTAGAATAATGGGATAATAATATACGTAATGGCACCTCGCGGGGGCAATATCGGCGCGAGGAGGGGGCTAACGAGTACTCCCCCTTTACCTCCTCTATACCTCTGCAGACGTTGCTGCACTTTGTTGCAATTCCGCGGGAAATCTTCTTCGCGGCTCCTGCGAGATAATCGCGAGGGGAGTTTTTTTTTTTTTTTTATCCGGCCGAGGTATCGAACCGCGATTATTGATCTCATTAATCGCTATCGCGCGTCCCTCGATAAGGGAGGTACTTTAAATCTCGCGGAAGGGTATCGGGAATTCTTGGGGATTTGTCGCGGGCATCTTCTATTGTGCCGTTGTACCCCGTGGCTTCTAATTTAATAAATCCGCGGGAAAGGAAGGGGGGGGGGGACGTTTCGGAGCGAAAGGAGATAATCGAAATTCGATATCGGCGTTGCTACGTGTCCTCGTGGATAATTTAACGTTTCCGCGCGGCGGGGAAAAATCAATTGGCGGAGTTTCGGCACGGGAATGCCCGAGTCCATACGTGACCGGGGAAGAGATTTGAAGGAAAAATTTCGGGATATCTCCATGGGGCTTACGAACGCATTGCCTCCTCCCTTGCCATTGCGCGTACTCGCAACGCGTGTACGTGGCGTCGATGCTTCGCGTAATTTTCCCGCGTCCGCAATTTCGGGTCTGGGATTTACCGCGGCCCTCTTTGTCCGAGCCACGACTTTCAATTCATTTCCCTCTGGCGGGGCATTCGGGGCCGTCGCAGGATTAACAAATATCCCCTCGTAAAAAATATACGCCTGACAAACGCGGGGCCCGGCTAAACGGCGATGAGCGGTTTCGAGGGGGTCCCGTAAATCTCGCCCCCTTTCGCGAGAGACGAGGATGAATCCCGGGGGATGATAAAATCCACTCCACATATTTTTTTCTTCTCCTTTCTCTCCTCTCGATAAACCTCGAATCATCGATCCGAGGATTCTATGCAAAATTGAGGAGTCTTGACGCTTAACCCTTGCTAGACTCCCGCGGACCTCCGGGACGATTTCAGCCGCCGATGAATTCCCTAGGGAGAAAGAAGGGGGTCCTTCGAAGAGTCTCCCTTCCCTCTCCATCAGGGAGGAGACTCCCATTACGGGATTCCTCCTCGTAATCGAGCCCCCTGGGAGAGCGCCATTTCCGAAAAAAAAAATTCCCCTCTCCCGAGTATCTCCGGGAATTATTTTAATCGCCGGGGGGGAAAAAAGACACCCACCCCGCGAATCGTCTCGATAAATTGTTTCCGACGCGTCGCGCGAAATCGGGCCCCTCCTCCTTCCCTCTGCCTCCCTCTCTCTCTGTCGGCCCCGCCAGTATTGATTTCGTATCAAAATCAGATTATCGAGACGCCTCGAAATAAAACGCGTCGGCGGCCGGTAATTCGTTTTACGGCCCGGCCGTGTTTGAGACTGTTCCGATCGGGCAGCTTGACGCGTCATAACCGCGGCCGGGGTAAAATCCGCGAAACAATCGGGAGGGGGTGGCCCGTCCCTCCCCCCCCCCGAACGCGGATTATGAATTTCACACCCCGTCGCCCGCGTTTTCACCTCGCTCTGTGACAACTCCCGGTGGACTTCGCTCGCTAGAATTTTCCTCCCTTTTTCCTCTTTTTGGGGTTTCTCTTATTTCACGATAATTTTTTTTTTTTTTTTCTCGCCGGGGAAAAAATCGCCGCGTTTTCGGCGCCCCGCTCCGCGACCCCGAATCTGCACCTCGGCGGGGGGTCGTGGTTCGCAGGTGTCGGGGGCAGGGGGAAATGGGGCAGAGAGCGGATTCGAGCCGTGAACGATGGCGCCTCTTAGAGGGCGCGGCCAAAGCGGGTTAAATTTCAAAAAGTGCCGCGCGTTTTATCAGCGCGGTCCTTTGTCGCCCACGGTTGCATTCCGCGCGAGTGCGGTTTGCCGCGGGGGGGGGGGGGAGGGGGAGGGAAGGCGAAATGGGGAAAAAAGGAAACGATGGTAACCCCGGGCCGAGTTGAAACGTCAGCCGGAAAACGCCGGGAAAACGCGGCGGGGCTCTTAGCTCGCGCTCGCTTTTCCGCCCCTTTTGTTGGGCTCTTTTTTTTACTTATCCTTTTTTTCTCCTCCCCCCCCGCCTTCCTTTTTTCTGAACGTAGACACTTATCTTGCGCCCGGTCACTGATATCGGGACTGTTGGATCTGGAAAGTGAAAGCGGGAAAATGATATCCCCCCCCGGCTCCCCTCGTTGCTGCGTTTAATACGCGACGGTCCAGCCGCAGATCGTCTTGGCGCAGACTCCGGATTCGTTTCTCGATCCGATCGGCCGATGGGTGGACGGTAATTGCCGAGGTCTGGATCACGGGCGCGATGGGATTTATCGCGATTTGTCGTGATTTAGGGGGAATTGTCGCGATTTGTCCCCGGGTCGTCGGGGGGGAGGGTCGCGATCTATCGGTGATCGTCGACGGTTCTGATGGATTTAGATGGAGCGTTAGGCACCGCCACCGGGGGGCTCGTCACGAATTGCCGCGAATTATCGTGACGTCACGACTTATACACGAGTATATCCGAAAGTACGACTCGGGGACGGATGACGGATTTTCCTCATTTCTTTTTTTTCTCTTGGTTTTTCTCTTAACCGTAAAAAATCGATTCACGAGTCCTGGCTCTCTCGGTACGCCGCGCTTCTCTCGGGGAATCCTCTCCGATTCCTGATAATCGGCGCACCTTGCGTCCAGGTCGGCCCTTCCCGAGCCGAGTGACACACCGGGGTCGACAAACTCTCTCCGCGGGATTTCTTTTCGAAGCCGACGCGGCCGATTCGCCTCGCCGTATAAAGTGAGCCCGGCAAAAACCCGTTTGTCGGGGGCGAGGGGGGCCCCACCTCTCGCCCCCGACAATGCCCACGCGTTCGTTTTCTCGTTCGTCGGCCTGGACTCCCGGCGTCCCTCGGGAGAGGGTCGTTTGTCGACCCCTTCTTTCTCCCCTTTCCCTTGAAAACGCCCGAAAGAGACGAATCGACGCGAGACCCCCCCCGGATGCCTCGAGGAGAACTCCACTGCCCTTCCCCCGTTGCGTCGAAATTTTAGAGAATCTGCCCCGAGATGATAGCGTCATCGAACGGCGGAAAATATTGGCGCATTTTAGTATGCTCCGATTTTAACATTTCTTTGAGGGGACGGGAAAAGGAAAAGGGGGAGAAAGTACGTTGGGGGCAACGAAGGACGAGGAAGCGGGCTAAACGTGAATTTCTCGCTCGCCCGAGCGCGCGCCGATTGACGAACACGCGACCACGTTTCGAGGCGAGCCGGTCACGAGACAACGAGCGCATGCACATGCATTAAGTGCACCTAATCACGGCAACAGGTACCCGGTGCGGTATTTATTTTCGCTCCGGTTTTCGGGAGCGGATGTGTTTACCGGGCGCCCGCCCCCTGAAATCGGGAAGCTTTGCGGAATAAATTCTTCCCCGATTTTCCTGCGCTTTTTTCCTCCCGGGAAGAATCTCCGAGACATCGCGGAAATACTTTTCTCTTCCCTTTCTTTCTAATTTCTCCTCCCGAACCCTCTCTGTAATGGGAAAATTCCACCTCTAGGCGACAGCGGGGAGGGAATCGCATTATTTTCCGGAAAACTGAGGGGACTGAGATTTTCCCGGTCGGCGGGCCGAATTTTCGACGGTCGTTTCCCCGGATCGCGCGTTGTGGAACCACGACTCGAAAAGGGGACCGAGGCGGGGGGGCAGAGATGTAATCTATTCATGAAACGGAAGTGAGAAGTTTAAGTGGAAAAGTTCCTTTCGCGTCATTGGCACGAGATATCCGGTCTAAGGTCGGCGGCTCCCGGGGGAGGGGGGCACTCGCGATCGC